TGGGAGTGTTTTAACACCAGTGTTGGGGGCTTAACCCATGGGGGGGTGTCAACCCATTTGAGGTGTTTAACACCAGTGTTGAGGCTCTTAACACCATTTTTGGGGGTGTCTTGATACTTTTGGGGGATGTCTTAAAACCCATGTTGGGGTCTTAACCCCCAGTGTTGGGGTGTCTTAACACCAGTGTTGGGGGTGTCTTAACACAGTGTTGGGTTTTCTTAACACCAGTGTTGGGGGTGTCTTAAACACCAGTGTTGGGGGTGTCTTAACACCAGTGTTTGGGTGTCTTAACACCATGTTGGGGTGTCTTAACACCAGTGTTGGGGTTTTCTTAACACCAGTGTTGGGGGTGTCTTAAACCTGTTGGGGTGTCTTAACACCAGTGTTGGGGTGTCTTAACACCAGTGTTGGGGTGTCTTAACACCAGTGTTGGGAGTGTCTTAACACCAGTGTTGGGGTGTCTTAACACCAGTGTTGGGGTGTCTTAACACCAGTGTTGGGGGTGTCTTAACACCAGTGTTGGGGATGTCTTAACACCAGTGTTGGGGGTGTCTTAACACCATTGTTGGGGTGTCTTAACACCAGTGTTGGGGGTGTCTTAATACCAATGTTGAGGTGTCTTAACACCAGTGTTGGGGCGTCTTAACACCAGTGTTGAGGTATCTTAACACCAGTGTTGGGGGTGCCTTAACACCAGTGTTGGGGGTGTGTCAACACCAGTGTTGATGTGTCTTAAATCTAGTGTTGGGTTAGCGTTTAACACCAGCGTTAGGCTAGTTAGCATTTACTACCAGTGTTAGGCTAGTTAGCATTTACTACCAGCGTTAGGCTAGTTAGCATTTACTACCAGCGTTAGGCTAGTTAGCATTTACTACCAGCGTTAGGCTAGTTAGCATTTACTACCAGCGTTAGGCTAGTCAGCATCGAATACCAGCGTTAGGATAGCTAGCGTCTAATACCAGCATTAGGCTTGTTTTAAAGTGTTTATCACTAGCGTTAGTTAAAGTACCTAACGTATTATATATTCACTGATACCCAGCTCTGCGCATATACACAGAGATGCGGACCTGATGCTCCCTCTGCGCATATACACAGAGATGCGGACCTGATGCTCCCTCTGCGCATATACACAGAGATGCGGACCTGATGCTCCTCTGCGCATATACACAGAGATGCGGACTGATAGCTCCCTCTGCGCTATACACAGAGATGCGGACCTGATGCTCCCTCTGCGCATATACACAGAGATGCGGACCTGATGCTCCCTCTGCGCATATACACAGAGATGCGGACCTGATGCTCCCTCTGCACATATACACAGAGATGCGGACCTGATGATGCTCCTCTGCACATATACACAGAGATGCGGACCTGATGCTCCTCTGCACATATACACAGAGATGCGGACCTGATGCTCCTCTGCACATATTACACAGAGATGCGGACTGTGATGCTCCCTCTGCACATATACACAGAGATGCGGACCTGATGCTCCCTCTGCACATATACACAGAGATGCGGACCTGATGCTCCCTCTGCACATATACACAGAGATGCGGACCTGATGCTCCCTCTGCGCATATACACAGAGATGCGGACCTGATGCTCCCTATACACTGAGATATACATCGCGTATTGTATACAGTTCGGCACACACTCCTGTACTGGACCTAGTTTCGTTTAACGAAATTTTAATGAATAAGATACATGTGCAACAGTTAGGTATCTTTATTATATTACTCGTCAAATTGTCGGTATTTTATACCATTTTCAGCATAATGAAATCTTGTAGATCAAAAGGTTGGTTATTTATTAGGAGTCGTCTAGCTTTTTAATCCGAAGAAATCTGACCAACAGATGTTGGCTGCTGTGTTTGACTGATGCAAACAAAGGATGACTCGCAGTGATAAAGGAAAAGGAACAAATGAAGAGTGGGTCAGGGAACTATCAACGTGATCCCAAGGACCAGGCACTGTCACACACACAAACACTTGTACATACACCCACGCGCGCACATGCACACACATACAGGAATGTCCTACGAAGAAAGGTTAAGGGAAATCGGTCTGACGACTCTGGAGGACAGGAGGGTCAGGGGAGACATGATAACGACATACAAAATACTGCGTGGAATAGACAAGACGGACAGAGACAGGATGTTCCAGAAATGGGACACAGAAACAGGGGGTCATAATTGGAAGCTGAAGACTCAGATGTTAGGAAGTATTTCTTCAGCCACAGAGTTGTTAGGAAGTGGAATAGTCTGGCAAGCGATGTAGTGGAGGCAGGAACCATACATAGTTTTAAGACAAGGTATGATAAAACTCATGGAGCATGGAGAGAGAGGACCCAGTAGCGGTCAGTGAAGAGAGGCAGGGCCAGGAGCTGAGTCTCGACCCCTGCAACCACAATTATGTGAATTAGGTGAGTACACACACACACACGCACGCGCGGCCAGGAGCTGAGTCTCGACCCCTGCAACCACAATTAGGTGAGTACACAATAAAGCTCAGGGAGCGGGACCTAGTAGCTACCAATGAAGAGGCGGGGGCCAGGAACTGGGACTCGACCCCTGCAACCACAGTGAGTACACACTGACTTGCAGCCTGGAAGAGAAAAGTTAGACACTTGATTACTACGTACAAAATACTCAAAGGCTTCGATAGGGTTGCCAGTCTGAGAAGAGGAGGAACTAGATAGTGACACAGGTAGATGTTAGTGATGCATTTAAATATATTATGCACCCCAAACCCATCTTGTGGGCGGTAGTCAAAACATAGAGACCGCTAAGTTTTGATAGCTAAACAAGTTGGTGGTAATGAACTCTGTACATGTTTATATCTGGTTACAGCCGTAGTGAATTATTTATGCAGACATGAATTAGGTCGCTAAGAAGTCAAAAACAGTTCGTCATACTCAGGTGGTTATTACAACCAGGTATCCAAAGGCCTGTTATCCTGGGTGTAAAGGGAGCAAAATAAACACAGCAGAAAAACTTTTGACTTATGTTATTCTTCAAGCAAGAACAGAATTATGTACACTATATACACTATGTACAGCAATAGGTATTAGTGCACACCACGGTAAGCAAGGCAGAATAGAAGCCACTAGAGAGCAGACCGTGCTTCAACCAGCTCTAGAATGGGAATGACAATGACAGACAGATGTGTGGTACGCACAACACCTCTGCGATTGCCAAAACCATCTCATTGGCTGGAACCTGGGTACTGATCGAACGACGGGGCGCCCATCGTCGACCCTAGTACTGGTTCGCTGGTTGGGGGAGATAGCCTTTCAATGAGGGTGTGTACATGCGCCGAATGAAGGTTACGTACTCTTTGCATGCCACAGTGGTTAAGAAGTAGAACGATCTGGATGACGAAGTGATAGAGAAAGGTTTCATACACAGTTTTAAGTGTGGGTGTGTAGAATAAGTAACAGCATACCATGGATGCTTCCATAATGTAAATATCATGATAAATAGTGTAGCAACACACTGTGGGTGTTCCACAATGTAAATATTCAGAATAGGGCAGCTGAGGGACTGATTACCTCGTCTTCTGCTGTCTCCAGTTTCAGAATAAAGTTACCCAGGCGTTGCACAAGTCATATTGATGTACATCACACTTGCAAAGCCAGTGCTTCTCTATTCTTTCTAAAACACAAATTAATCCAACCTGAATCCATTGCTACGAGTTCATGACTTACACCAGTATCTGTTGTCATGAAGAATTATACACATGTGCAACATCTGGGTATCTTTATTGTAGACGTTTCGCCAACCAGTGGCTTTATCAATACAAGGACATAATGTGAAGTATATACAAAAGACGAGATAATGAGTCCCTCAGCCCATGAGGTGAAGAGCGCCGTAGTCTTGAAGACTACAAGGCTGAGGGACTCATTACCTCGTGTATTATGTATACAACTTGTACACCCTTCACATTATCTCCATTTATTGTATTGATAAAGTCACTGTATGGCGAAACTTCTACAAATTAAAGATACCCAGATGTTGCACATGTGTAATTCTTCATCTTGTCGGTATACCACTGATACACAGGTTATGTCTTAACTACTGACTTAACTATAGCATGGAATTGCGTCACAAGGCACCATAGCATCTATGAAGGAGAACATAGATGTGGATATTTCTTTGTGTTGTCTGGGAGACTGAGGACACCTTCATAGTTTTCCAATACGTTTGTAAATTGATTTAATATTTCTTCAGTCAGGTGAGCAGCAGTTAAAACATTCGTAAGTAATAAAGATAACTGGTAAGATACTAGGCATGAATATTAGCAATTTTTATTGGATATTTTTGTGTAAGTTATCATATACTTTTGCAGCTATTTAATTTTAAACATTTCCATTAAAGGTATTTTTTAATATAGCGACCAAAAGGTGTGGGATGCTATGGGATTTTAGTGCATAGTTGTAGTACATACACTAGTTTACAATTATTGTTTGCCCTAAATGCATTGTATACTCCTGGTTTACTGTTGTGCCTAACAATCTTTTATTACATGTAAACTACATTGGCCTTGTACAGCATTAAAAGACATAAAAAAATGAATTTGAAGTTATCAGTTATCGTCAGTATTCCCCTGGTATCTAACATACTGGATTTACCTGGTGGATTATGACACAGGTGCAACAGTTGCGTATCTTTATTGTTGAAACATTTAGCCTACACAGCAGGCTTCTTCAGTCGTAGATACAGAGGCAGCAGGTGTAGTAAAATGATGATGAACTCAATCAGCCTTGGAGAAATAGTATTTGAGGTGATCAGTCCATAAGACTGGAGAAGAGGGACTGACCACTTCATATCTCCTCTACCACACCTGCTGCCTGTGACTGAGGAAGTCTGCTGTATGTGTGAGTGTGCGAAACGTGTCAACAATAAAGATTCCAACTGTTGCACATGTCTTAATTATTTTGTCGGTATTTTATACCATTTTCGAGACTTCCTGGGTTGTAAGGAACATTAATCATTGCAGCGTGGAAGAGACGGTGCTCATAGCAAGTATGGTTGTGACTCCCTGACATCATTAACCCATGATGGACCGTCATCAACTGAACCCTAGTGAGGGTGTTGCCCAAGACGGGGAGGGAAGTGGAGGAACACCCGATGCCACGCCCACCACCACCGGGGGAAATGGAACGAAAAGTCGAACAAAACACCCCCCCGGGGGTGAAGTTTCAAGACAGTACCCGAGATGTCTGCGCAGGTGTGTGTATATTGTCTCTCTCCTCCATAATTCCGCACCACATTACCTTTTTTCCTGTGACCAATAATAATAATAATTTATATTTTTATTAGAAACCTTACAAAAGTACAAAGGATGCATAATAATAGTACAGGAATACAAAACATTCTTTTGTGCTACGAGTACCAGGTTATTCCTGGCGGGAACAAGTATTATAACATCTTGTTATAGCAAACAATACACGCTAAGACAAACCTCACTAAAGTATAACAGTCATTAATAGTTGCCGCCAAGCCATTGTACCCACAGAAAACACACCAAAATGAAACTTTACATAGTTTAACAATATAAAATGAATACCTGACATGTCCTATTACAACAAAAAATCATACAAATGTACATCACAAGATTACTAAAGTTGAAATTTTCACACATGACTAAAACCATAACCACCTTTAACACACAATATATGTACTACACATATCATGTCAGTAAAGTAAAAAGACCCTAACCAAAGCTACCATAACAACTATAAAACAAGACAAAACCCTAACATACCCGCTATGACAAGGTACAGAGTATACAGAGTATTGGTTAAGTTATGTTACATTATATCCTAACCAATAGGAATTCGGAAGGAACGTATGATTCCTTATGCAAAATAACCATAGAGAAACAGTATTTTACTATTATTAATATGTTAAACCCTCAAGTACAATAATTGTGATACAGAAAACAGAACAACATACATGTAACATACAATAATAAAATAACCCAAAACAAGTTTCTATAACAAACCTCGGCACATTAAAAGGGTTTTTAAAACCAAACCCTATACGTAATTAAACCTCCCACATATGTATATAAACCGAAAATTTTGTCCACAAGACTTTTTGGTATAACCCCATAAAAACATGGTCTAGACCCAAAACCTATACACACTTAAAATTTTTCACATAGAACCTTCATCAGACAATAAAAGTTAAACATAATACAAGAGAAGTAATAAGGATAAGGCCGCTGTAATTTGCCAGTCCCAAAAGAACTGACACGTATCTCAGAAAAATTTTTGTTGAAACCAACTTGCCAATCTAATTACTTAAAAACGAGATCCTAAGGGCTCGGTATCCTGGCTATCAAGGAAATTTTAAACACAGTGAACATAACCATCAGGCTTAGAAATTTAACCCTGGAAACCACACTTATATCTCACTATGACAAACATTCTCGTTGTGCAAGAAAGGTATAAAATACCGACAATATGAAAGTTAAGACACATGTGCAACATCTGGATATCTTTATTGTAGTAGACGATTACCTCATCTTTTGTATATAGTTCTACTGTCTTCCTATTATGTCCTAGAATCTGTATTGATAAAGCCACTGGATGGCGAAACGTCTACTACAATAAAGATATCCAGATGTTGCACATGTGTCTTAACTTTCAAACATTCTCGTGAAACATTGCGTACCATCCATACCTAATTCTCACTACCTTCCTCTTACACACGACATAAGCTCCAGAGAAAAACAAAAATAAAACCCCACCCCCCTTTACATCCCCCCATAAGGAGACCACTCCTTTGTCCATCCTCGGGGACCCCGACAAATGGAACCCACAGTGAGGTTCCTATAACCTTCCGGGAAACTTTTTTCCCAGGACGCCCCATAAACCAGCATATTCCTACACTTCGTCCTATAGAATCTAGCCGCCAACGCTTTTGTCCTCGTATCACCCCTTAATCCCCTCATTCCCCATGAGATATCCAGATAATCTACTATGATATACATTATAGCCCTTCCAACATCCCTAGGCACTCCCCTTACATCTAGTAGTAAAACCCTTAAAAGCGGCAAACGACCCCCCCCCAACAGTCTGATAACCCCACCCATCCATGATCTCACCCCCTCCAAGGAGGTACAAAAGAAGACCACATGAAACGCCGTTTCAACATCACCACAAAACTGACAAAAAGCCTCTTCCACAAACCCCATACAACGTAACGCCTCCTTGGAAGCCAAAAACCCCATGATAAAACGATACACTAATTCTCTTACTCTAGCCGGTATCCGAAGCTTACTAAAATCTTTCCAAATAACCCCCCAATCATACGTTGGATACATGGCTACCCCTTGCATAATTCCCTGACCTTTCACTACCCTCACCAACCTTTTCACTTTGATGTTATCCACCTGTTGCACTGTCAATAAAAATCTCAACATATCTTCACAAAACTCAATTCCTTCCCACTCCACCATTTACTGCCTCCTCCATAACTCTTCCTACTTTAGCGCCCCTCACACCCCCTTCCCCCTTATATACCTCCGCTTGATATATACAGCCATTACTCTGTCCTAAAGGCAACAAACCTAAACCCCTCTTCGAACATCTGTCATAACTACCTCCTTACTTAACCATGCCCTCCCAAATTCCCACACAAACTCAGCACCCTCCTCTGCATTTCCACAATTATCTCGTACCTCTAAGGGAAAAACCTCTGCCACCACCCATACCTTGCTATAGACAAGTGAATTTACCACCACTACCCTCTGATGTAAAGCTAAGTCCCTCGCACTTAAACCTCCTAGTCTACTTAAAACCTTACCCGTGACAGACTCCAAATTTACCCTTCTGCATGCCTGCACTTCCGCCATATACATATCCCACATACCCTGATTCTGTCAACCACTGTCCATCCTAACCCATCCCCAAGCCCCCCCCTATCCAATTACCGACCTCTAATAACCTTGATTTCACCGTATTAACTCTCATTCCGGTATTCATACCAAACATCTGAATCACTCTACCCACCCTCCTTAACTCCTCCTTACCCCGTAGCAAAACAGTAGTATCATCCACATACCCAACGATGCCCCCTTTGCACCCCCCCTCCATCTCCTGTTTGTCCATCACCCTCTCAACAGATTCATAAAAAGGAGTCTGCACACATGCAAAGAGAAGCTGTGACATCGGACAGCCCTGCCTCAAACCTCTCTCCATCGGTACACTTTCACCCAACCTCCCATTGACCTGTACCCTCACCTCTGCCTCAGCATACAGGGTATTCACCCACCTCACTACCCCCTCCCGAAACCCCAACCTCTCTAAGCAAACCCCTAAGAAATCTCTGTCCACGCAATCATATGCATTCACCCAATCTAAACCTAGTATTCCCCCTCCCGTATATCTCTCTAGAAAATCCCTAATCAAACCATGTCCATCCCTCATCCTTCTTCCCAGAATTCCCAACTGCCCCCTATGTAACACTAAACCCAACACTTTCCTCATTCTGTTACCCAAAACCTTAGCAAAAATCTTGTAATCCGAGCACATTAACGTAATCGCACGGTAATCAAAAACTCGGCATTCCTTCTTTTTGGGCACTAAAACCGTGACACCCGTTCTTTGCGATTTCCCCATCCTCCCACTACTTAACATACAATTCAAAACCCCCACCAGACAATGCCGTACACTCCCCCAATGATACCTATAAAAATCGTTTGGTATGCCGTCTATGCCTGGGGTTTTACCCTGGCACATCCCAAAAACTGCCTCCTCCACCTCCTCTACACTAATACTACCCTTGAGTCTGTCACTGTCCTGCTCACTTAATACCCTATTAAACCCTTCATCCCCAAAACGTCCCTCACCCACTCCCCTGCCAACCCTCCTCCACTTCTCCCTAAACCAAAAATCTGCATACAAACTAATATTTTCCGTGGTGGATAGGCCTTGACCCTCCTCAAAGCCACCCCCCCCTGTACCTGCCTCAATATACGCCAAGGTGGTTTTCCCCTGCCGTTCCTTAAACCTCCTTAATACAAAACCCGATGGCCTATCCCCCCTTAAAACATCCTCCAACCCCGCCCTAACTCGAATTGCCCCAAATTTTTCATTGTGAATTTCTGCCAACCTATTTCGCAAACGTTCCATGTCCTCACTCCACCCCACCCGTTCCTCTGCATAACAGTCATTTAACTGACCCTCAAGATAATTTTGTAGACCATAGCTCCACCTCGCCATCTCCTTACCCCGTACTTTAAAAAAATTCGCGATTTCAACTTTAGCCCTCATTTCCCACCAATCCAGCAAATCCATTTCCATATTCCTAGTCTCTCAAAAGGATTTCCACCAATCTTCAAAACCTGTAGGGTCACCCTCGTCCCTAAGTAGCCTCACATTTAATTTCCAGTATCCTGCATAAACTCTCACTATGCCATCTACCCTCAAATCTGCTATAACAGCACGATGATCAGAAAAACCCACATCGATCGTCCTCACCCTCTCCACACCTATGCCCTGCCTAACATAAATCCTATCTAACCGTGCCTCATATCCTCTACGAATAAAAGTGTGCTCCACTCTATATCCCCTACTTCCCACCACATCTACCACTCCAACATCTCGCAAAACATCCCGCAGAACCCCCAAAACACAACCCGCCCCCCTCGGAACCACATCACCATTCCTAATGACACAATTCCAATCCCCACCAATCACCGTAAAAGCAGGTAAACCTCTCAAGTGATATACCAGAACATCTCGTACAAAATCCACCTTCACTCTAGCGTTACTAGTTGCTGGCATGTACACATCCACAAAACTAACCCTCCTGGTCCCCCAAAACCCTCCCACCCCCCCTCCTCCCAACCCAGGATACGCAAAGGACTGGTCTCCTTTACCGCCACAGCCACACCTCCTTTCAACCTCAAAGCATCACTGGTAAACAACCTATAACCTTTCAACAACAACTCACATCCTAACCTATGGTTATGTACCTGCAAAAAACAGACATCAATACTAAATCTCCTCAAAACCCACTCTAACCATACCCTCTTGACCTCGGTTTTAAGACCGTTTACATGGAAAGTTACACACCTGAATTTTACAAGAATGGTGGCTTACCCCTGTGCCGCTGAGGCTTACTTGGTCCTCCTTTCATAGGTCTCGGTCCTTCTCTATCAATCCCTCGTTCCTGCCCTCCAACCCCTCCTTGTCCCTTCCCGCCGAGCTTCCCATTGCCCCCCCCCCTCCTCCCGGACTTGCCGTTGCTACCACAGCTGCCCACATCTTCTTCCCAGGCCTCTGCGCTGGTGTGAGGACTTCGTCCATGTCTGATGCCCCCACTGATCTCTTGTGGGAGCTACCCTCTACACACACATCTTCTGCAACCACATCTTCTTGATGGACCTTCACCACCACATTGCTCTCCTTTCGAACCTCACTCAAAGTCTTCCTTACCCCGCTTCTGTTCATCCATCACCTTGACATCACCTGACCTCGCATCACTTTCCACACCATGCTCAGACTCTTCCAAAAAATCCTGCAGCACAGCCTCCAAAATCCCTTCCTGAGCTGAATCTGTAGTACCTAACGGTCTGTCTGACAGCGATATTCCCTCCCCCCCCTCCCCCCGTTTCCACTGGTAGTGTAACACACGTCTCCAAAACCACCTCTGCTCTGTCGACCTCCTCACTCCATAGGCCTTTACCCCGGCTTTCCACTTCACCCATCATAACGTCCGCGGCTTCTAATGGCGTATCCTCAGAAGCTGTCTCCTGACGCCTAGGGCTCTGTCTCCTGGGGCATTGTGCCACCATGTGATCATAAGTCACATAAACGGCACGTCTTCCTCTGCCCCGCATAGTGTACAAAAACCTGTGTTCTATGGCTATGCAATGTGACATATGATGGTATCGGCCTCCTCAGGGTCATTTTCAGTGTGAAGGATCCTTCATGCATCCCCTCGTAAGGGCCGTCCCTCCACATTCCCATGCTCGCCAAGTGTACAGTCCCATAACCACTGAACACATCTTGTAGGCTGTATGCTGTTGCCTCAAAAGGTACATTCCTTACCTTCACCCAAGTAAAATACTTAGACACATCATGCAAGCATACTTCCACTGCCGAATTGATACTCGTCCTCCTTTCTTGAAATTCGTCGACGATGGTAGAGTAGAAGTCAGCTCTCATGAACTTCACGAAGACCCTTGACATACCATTCAGAGCCACACCATACAGCTCTTCATTGGGGATGCCATAACAGTCCCTGATAATGCTTGGCAGGAGAACGTTCATCGTGGCGCTGCTTAAAGATCCTCTAACCAGCTCAATGCAGACAGTATTTATGCGCCGGTTCATTCGGTCCGCCATCTTGGTGCTAATGCTATGTTTTCCTCACCAGGTGGCGTGCAAGAGAAACTGTAGAAGCGTCCTCTCTCCCCGCAGGTCGAGAGACGAATGCCTGTGACCAATAATAATTAAGCTAGTGTTACCTTCCTTGGATCGAAGGCAATGGCTACTCATTCCCTAAGTATTGTATGGCCCCCATACGGGTTTAGTGCTTCATGCTAGTGTGATTCACGTTAAGATATTTATCTTTCCTCCATTTATAAGACTTAGCGGTGTTGTTGATGTACACTGTACAGGGTGTGTGGTGCTGGAGGGTTCCTGGTGGTCCACTGTCTCCAGCAGGTGGTGGACGGAGCGGCCACCACTTACATCACCACCTGCACCACCCACCTACGGCGCCACCTGCAGTTCTCACACCCTCACCTAGCTGCTATATTACTACTAAGGCACCTAGGTAAGCTAGCTCTCTCTCTCTCTCCCTCTCCCCTTACAAACACACGGGGCCAGGAGCTATGAATCGATCCCTTCAACCACAATTAGGTGAGTACACACACACGTACGTCGTGCCTAATAAGGAACTTACTGAAAGGTCGAATTCCCTTAAAAATTGAACTTTTCAAAAAAAAAAAAAAAAAAAAACTGAGGGATTGATAGATTTACTGTATATATTTTTTTATTGACAGTGATATAAAATGTTTTATTTTTTGGAAGAAACTTAAGAAACCTCATCTAACTTGAACGTAATTTTGTGTAGCTAAATTCTAGTTATACGTATAATCATAGATTAATTTAAATTTATTTAAAATTTCTTAAAATTAATGATATATTTTTCGTTATGCTGAGATCGATTTCCGCTGATTTATGGCAAAAACACATTTTCATTCTGCTAATTCGGCAAAGTGAACCCTTGCCAGATAGACCAAACTCGACGAGTCTGCTTAAACGGCACGACATATATATATGATAATAAATATATTTATATATATATATATTATATATATTATAACCTATACTATATATATATATATATATATATATATGTTTTACTTTCTATTGTATCTTTGTGAATTTTTTGTCAATGTATTTTGTCTTTAAATAAAATATATATTAAATATAGGGGGTGGTAGGAGAAAATTCTTAAACAGCCTCAGGGAGAACCTTGAGTTTTCCCTGAAGCAAGTTTATTCTTTTCTCTGAGGATGAGGGTCCCTAGGACAGTTCTAGAGGTGGTACCTCCCTATATTTATATATATATATATATATATATATATAATATATATATAAATATATATATATATATAATATATATATAATATATATATATATATATATGTCGTGCCGAATTTGTAAAACTGGTCAATTAGCAAGAACTCATTTAAAATTAAGTCCTTTCCAAAATTTTCTCTTATACGTTTAAAGATATATTTTTTCATTAATGTTAATGTAAAAATTTTTAATTTTGCACCAAAAGAAACTTAGAAAACTCACCTAACCTTATTATAACAAGAACAATTTATTTTAGCCTAACCCAACTAATTATATTTTAGATTTGTTTACAATAATTTAATACTAAACAAACACAGTGAAATATATTTTATTCGTTAGGTTCAGATTGATTTTTGCGAAATTATTCATACACAAATTTTCACTTGCCTATATGCAAGATGAGCGTTGCTATTTAAGCCAAGATCGCAAAGTTCTGCCTATTCGGCACGATCTATTATATTAATATATATATTTTAATATATATATATATATTATATATATATATATATTATATATATATATATATATATGTTTGTGGTGTGTGTAATTGAGAGAAACAGGTAGTCGTCATAAACAGGTATAATAAGCACATTTCGCCCACAGGACCAGTGTTGATGGGCGTGATCTTGAGTCAGGTGGGTGGGCGGGGTCACCGCGCTAGGTGGGTGGCAGCCGCCCAGCTCCTTACCGCCCTAGCCACCCTCGCTACCCTCACCACCGCCCTCATACCCCCACCTACCCCACCCTTAGGTAAGTTCACATTTTACACTATTCCCGTGCTTTTACTCTTGCAATAACGCCATAATTATTATAGTAGTAGTAGAGAGAATAATATCTAAATATAAAGAATAAAGTTATATTATTACCATTTTAAGATTCACGGGAGGAGGATGGGCAGGATGGGGAACTCTACTGTGATGTGAAGTTGTTAGCTGCCCTGGCTAATGAACCCACGGTGTCGGAGGCATCATGGGTCACCTCCTGGAGGAACGGTAGTAACACCTCCCTGGCTTCATACTCGCGACCATCACCCTCCCTCACCCACCAACACTCCTGCATACACTCTCACACACTTACTGTCCTTGTTTGGGTCTTCGCCTCTGTTCTCAGTGGTAATGTATTAACTAAATTATTATTATTATTATATTATTATTATTATTATTTATTATTATTATGTATCTTTGAAGAGTAACCTTCAAGAGGCTGCTTGAATATTTCTTTGTTTTTCAAACTTCTTCCATTTTTTTTCGCTCATAACTCTAGAACGCCTTAACCAATCGGCTTCACTTTTTTTTTCAGCGATCATGTACGATAACGAGGACCAGATTCTTGGAACAGTTGGTATGTTCATGTGCCATTTGGCCGAAGTTTTTGATCACATTCCCAGCATCCAGGAATGTCTCTCATAACTTCCAAAAATCTGTGCCTTTATTTACTATTTTGTAACACCCCTGGGAAGGCTGGAAGGTACCCTACTGTACGGAATTCGGTATGAAATATAAAAAAGTACGGTACGAAATTACGGTACGGTTGTGGAAAAATAAATTTACCTAGATGTAACTCATAAGATACATACCAGTAAATGGTAACAAAGATACTTATTCTTTATCAAGGTTACAGAGACAAGTAGGAATTTTAGGATACTTAGGTTGCAATAAATGTCCTCCTTTGATACCTACTATAATCTATCTCTCCACAAGTCACTCTGGACCTATATTAATTTCAAATGAAATATACATCACCAGGAATTCTGGTAAAAACAATAATATAAATATGTGGACTGTATATTAAATTTAAAATGTGAATACATATACATTAAAGGAGAATTTATAATAATAATAAGACTCACCAATTAGTCTGGAGATTACGGTGTTCATACTCAAAACCCCCCTGCCTAAATTTATGAAGAAAATACTGGCCAGAATTTCATCACAAAATAGACATGACTTAGCTGGGGTTCTGAAGCTGTCCTGTCCATCTACTTAATGCTCACGTTATGCAGGACTGCAAATCCAACAATTTCGGCTCCTATTTGAGGTTTTAAGCCCAATATAACCCCTAGAGCGACGAAAATTTATGCACATTTCACTAACGTGCTTTTACCACATTCAAAACAATGGCGTCTCCCCCGTGCTCGTCATCACAGGTGCAGAGCTTCCCTGGCGGTTCTCTTCTTTAAAATACACTTTAGAACAATAGTAATATATTAATCAGGTATATTTACATTATAAAAAATATACAGCATAATTTCGGGAAATTATTTTCCACACTGCAGCTGGGCGGAGGTCGTTGCTAAACAACTCAAATTACTCCTTCCTTTAGGAGACGATTCCAGTCAGTTCTGGCCTGAGTGGCTGTTTTCCTAGTAGGTCTTACTACAATTTCATCTTCCTGCATCACTTGGTCAGCGTTACCTTCAATATCACTCGTGTCACTTTCCCCTAGATTTTCATTTACGTTTGGTTGAATACCATTTAATTCCAAGGGAATCATTTATTAATTGTGCATAAACTTTCCTGGCCACGACACAACACTTTGACATTCCGGACAACACCTTGTGCATCTGGGTACAATGTTAATACTTTGCCCAGAGGCCACAATGTTCAATGTTGTTCAGTATCAATTAACACAATGTCACATGGTTAAATGTTCTGTCGATTTACTGCCTCTGTCGCACCATAAAAGTGTTCACGCAGTGTAAGATATTCCTTATGCCACACATTAGACCAATGATCAATTCAACATTTTAAATTTATCACACAACACTGCTGCATCATTGTAATCTTCATCACTTTCTTCAGGATTATCTCTATAGACAGGGGCAGCTTCCAATTTCCTTCCACATATTAGGTGAGAAGGTATTAATACCTCTGCTTCAGGTGTATCATTCAAGTATGAGAGAGGCCGATTATTTATCCGATTCTCTGCCTCCACCAACACCGCACAAAATTCCTCCAAATTAATTCTCTTCCGGTGTAGTACTTTACGGAGACACCTCTTCACTGTGCCTATCAGTCTTTTGTACAGCCCCCTATGCCAAGGGGCTATAGGAGTAATAAATTTCCAGGTACGCCCTCGTTGGGATAACAGAGATTGAACATCGTTACTCTTATTTAATTCTATCAAGTGTTGAGCACCCACTACAAAATTTGTGGCATTATCCGAAATCATCAATTTTGGACAGGATCTCCTAGCTGAAAATTCTCGAAACAGCTGTATAAACTGTTCTGCAGACAAGTCCTGAGCCACTTCTAAATGAACTGCCCTAGTAGCAGCACAAGTGAACAAGCATATATACACTTTCAGTGGAACACCATCTGAAGTACCTGTTAAAATGATTGGACCACTATAGTTTACACCTGTTACATCAAATGGTTTCATTAATTGTATACGCTCCTTTGGCAATGGTGGAGGACCTGGGTACATATAGGATCTGGCATCCACACAGCGACATATTACACAAAATTTAATCACCTTTTTTACACTTTGCCGTCCTTGTGGAATTCAGAAAGTTTCCCTAATACAATTTTGAGGTATCTTGTACCCCACTATGCATTACATTTTTATGGGCTTTAACAACAATTAAATTTGTTAGATGATGAGTTTCGGGCAGTAAGATAGGGTGTTTAGCATAATCTCCCAATTCAGCATTTTGTAACCTACCTCTGCACCTAATTACATTGTTCTTTAAATACAGCCCCAATTTCTCTGTTATGGAACCTTTCACAATTTTTCTTTCCATCATCAATTTAATCTCATTTCTATAAATTTCTTCTTGCACCCTCTTTATCCAATATTCAAGAGGATGTGAAAACTTACATGAGATATTTATCTTGTTTAGAAATTTAAACACCAACTTAGTTACATTGATTAGTTTGGGTAAAGAAGAATACGTATTTATATCAGTGGCTAAAGAAGGACAAACTATTGGAGCGGTGGTCACAGTAATTTCAACAGGAGCAATATATGCCTTTTGTACAGGCCAATTAGCTCTATTTACCAACCAGCTCGGTCCTTTAAACCATGATACAGCATTTACAAATTTAGCATAAGGTAAATCTCGAGACAAGAAATCAGCTGGATTCTCCTCACCAGGTATATGATTAAATGTTAACATATGCTGACCCAAACTATTATACTTCTCTTGCATCTGATTAATTTCATTGACTCTGTTTTGTACATACACAATTCTACTGTTTCCATTACGAATCCATTGTAAGGATACCTCATTATCAGACCAAATTTTCCAGTGTCATTTAATTTAAATCCCCTTAAAAAACGTATTTCTTATTAAAAATTTAAATTTTGACCCCCCTTCAAAAAATGGCGGGTTAAATTTCCAAGGGAGGAAAGGAAAGTGTTTTAAAATTTGGGGGGAAAAAACTTTACCTTTAGACATAACAAGGAAATAACATTATTACATTAAAAGGTAAGAAAATGCTCCCCAAAAACCCCAATTTTGAAGCATCAAAAAAAAAAAATATGGAGTATATTTTTCCTATCTGGATTGGTCCCGGCAGAAACCCCAAACCCCATTGGAATTTTTTTTTTCAAAAATCACCTTTTAAATTTTCACCCAAATGTTAATGAATTCCTCGGTAGAGTTTCTTTTCCAAAGGGCACTTTTAAACCCTTTCCCAATTTTCTTGTTTTAAAAATTTTCCCTTTTTATAGTAAGGTTGGGGACACAAAAGGCCTAGGGATCAAAACTTTTTGGAAAAACTTCAGCAAAAAAAACTCCCTTAGTTTTTTTTTTTGGCAAAAACCCTGTAATTTTTGGGTTTTTTAAATTTTAAAACAAATCTCTTCATTTACCCCCAATTTTTAATCCCAAACATTACAAATATTTTGGTACTTTACCCTCCGGGGAAAATCTTTATTTTATTTTGCCCTTTTAAATTTGGGAAAATTTACAAAATTCCTTTTCCCTCAAGGCATATTTGCATTTTGCATTATTTTTATTAGCCTCTCCATAAGTCTTAACAGTTCCCCCTTCCCGGGTTGGGCTCTTCAGTTAAGTCACCCCAAAAAAATTTGGGTCCACATAAAATTGTTTGGTATTCCCTTATAAATTGGATTTTCCAAATACGTTTAAGGTGTGATTTATCGTTGCTTGAAGGGGAAAAAGACTAAAAGTAGTGCCAAATAAACGCTCCTAAATCAAAAGGGTCTTCAAGGGCAAAGTGGGCCCACTAGGATTCTCAGGCCATAAGAAGGGGTACAACCCCGGTCAGCCTCTTTGAAAAACCCACTTTGGGAAAGTTTTTATTATGTCACCCGAAAAGGCAAAATGTTCCCACTCTGAAATTTTTTTAAGATATCTCAAATTTTTTCCGTAAAACCTGGACCTGTCATCGTCATTTAAATAGGTCATTTTTTGTTTTTTTGGGTGCTAAAATTTAAACACAATCCTCAGAGGAGGGGGGGCTTAAAAAATCTTTCTTCCCCCGTGTTTGGGGCAAATAGTGCCCAAAAAATTTTGGCTTGCTCAGGAGGTCCCTTTTTTTTAAAAATTTTATTAACTGTCGGGAAATTATATCATTTTGGGCCCAGTCAAAAATTTCGGGGGGGTTCTTACCGGGTTTGGGGAAATGACCCTTTAATTGCCCATGGGGCCTTCTGAAATTAGTGGGCAATTCTGGGGGTTCATTTCCCCAAAGGGGAAAGTCTACCCAGTTTGTCCAGATTCAAATTTTACATCTCCGGGTACGGGCCCTAAAGAAAAGAATCGCCCGGATTTTTTTTCTTCTTTTTATATTTTTTCCCTTTGTTTTCCCTCTTAAAGGGGGGGCCCCTTGGGCCCCGGGGTTTAAAAGAGGTTTTGGGTTCTGGGGAAATTAGACCTGTCGGTCTTTTCCCTTTCAGCCCAAACCCAAATTCCCCCCCAATCTCCCCTCCCCTACCCATCCTCCCCTCCTTCCTTTTTCTTTTCCTCCTCCTCCTCCCCCCCCCCCCTTTTTGCCTTCCCCTTTTTTTGGGCCTTTTGGGGAAATTTTCCCCCAAAGGCCCGCTAGTTCCTGGGTTGGGGGAAAGGATCCCGGGGTTCCATCCCATTCCTTGGGTTTTTGGGGGTGGGGGTAGTTTTTGCCTTTTTAAATCGGGATCGCAGGGGGATGCCCTCCCTCTCCATATCCCGGAGTAGTTTTGGGGTGTTTTTTGGGTTTTTGGGCGGGGTGTATCTCGGGAAAGCCCCCTTTTCGGATCCGGGGGGGGTGGCCGAAGGAGGTATGTTTTTGTGGGGGATACCCGGCCCCGGCCCTTCTTTTGTCCACCGAGGTAGCTCGGCAGTGTGGGGTTGCTATCCCTTTTGTTAGTTTATAGCATAAATGGGTGGGTTTTGGCAGGGGTTTTTCCTTGCGCATCTGCGCTACTTGCGGTGTGAGGCCCCTTCTTGGGAACGGGGGGATTT